GATATCCATATCCATTTCCACCTGCCACTACAACTCCTTGGTTGTTATATTCTCCCATTTTCCATCGTCTCACTTCATTCTTCTTAAAATCAGAAACATAAAGAAATCCATGTTTATCCATTGCTAAGCGAGAACAATCAATATTGTCAATGAGAATTTGTTGCTTTTGATTCAACCATTGAATCACTCGTCTGTTCCCTTGATCAGCAATGATAATCGAATGATTTTGTTGATCAACAATCACATCTGTTGGTATATTCAATTGATCTAGTCGATTTCCTTGCCCATTTGCACCTGCAATGATTTGTCCTTCTTTTCCATTATGTTTCCATTGAACAATACGATGATTTGAACAATCAGCAATGAAAATATTTTTGTTTTTATCAATAAACATTCCATGAGGGCCCATGAGTTGATTAAATCCTTCCCCTTTTTCATTTACACCAGCTACAGTGATAGCATTTTGTTTCCATTTGTTGAATTTCGGTTCTAGAGAATAACGAAACAGAAGATTTTAATAAAAACTATAAAAAAAAGAAAAAGAAGAAGAGTTGTTTGATTTTTGATTGAAATTGAAGTTTTGGTTTTACTATTCTATTTAGAATATAAAGGTGACAATCTATTTGATTTTATTATTTATTTTAATTTACAATTTTAATATGAGTATTTAGAAAAATGTTTCAAATAGAATTAAACCTTTCTTCAATATTATTTCATATGTTATCATTCTTTTTCTTTGTATTATAGTTGATTAAAATACTTTCATAGAAATTGAGAATCATCCAGTTAGAAATTATTTGGTAAAAACTTACTTTTTTCTAATGGGACAATTGAAATTTCATTAATAAATGATTGTGGATCATGCTGAATAGAAATAGTTGCTGGATTATTTAATTCTTCAGTGATTTCTATTAGTTGATTTCTTAAATAATCTAAATTCATTTCATTAAATTCATTTTCTTCATGAATTTGTTTTATTTGTTCAGATAAATCATGAAATTTCATTTCAATATCATCAATACATGTTTGTGATGATTTAATGAAGATTTCTCTGCATTCTTGTGCATTTTGTTGAATTTTTTTAATTGAATCTATTTCCCATTGATTAATTTGTTTTATTAATGAATGATTTTGTAAATTTTGTGGATTTTGTTTTTGTTCATTAATTGTTTGTTTAAATTCATTATATTCATTGGTTATATGATTTAATTCATCATTTAATATTTGTTTATGTTCTGATAAATCCATAAAACAAAATCTTTGTGAACATCCTTCACAAGGGTATGTTATTTTTTTTTTCTTGCAATTAAAACATTGTGTTTTATTGTCTATCATTGCCATGTCTTTGAATATAAATTTCTAGATATAAATTTAATCACTCAATGATAATAAAAATATTGTTCAGTAGTAAAAGAAGTCTAAAAGGAACTTTTTCGTACAACAATTCTAGTGATGTTTTTTCAATGAAAGAATATTTTGATGCTGATTTCGATGTAGTTGAAGATTAAACATAGATCGTTACCCTCAAAATAGATGATATATTAATCTCTTATACTGTTATTATCATCACTCTTATTCTCAAGATAGTTCTTATGTAATATTCTTTTTTGTTCATTTTTATATTATTTCAAAAGAATAACTTACCTAAATGAAACTATTTCAAACAATTGAATTGTTAAACTTGTGATATTTTGTAATCAATTCGATGTGAATCAGAATTCCGCTGTACCACTTGTAAGCGAATAAATAAACTATTCGTTCGCCACATTAACCACATATATGATCACGTGGTATTTTCTTCTTCCAGTATTCTCCTCTATTCTTTCGTATATGATCGTATCGAATTTTTTTCTTTTTGTTATTATAATTTGTTTTTCTTTTGCTCTTTTAACTTATCAAAATGAGTTATTTTCAAGTTATGAACAAAAGTATATGACAGGTATTTTTTCAGAATATATTGTATACCAGAGATGGAAGAAATCGAAGAAATAATCACCGCTCACCGTATAAATAATTAAATTTGAACTATTCCTTATATGCTTTCAAAAATAATTTTTTTTTCAACCTTCGATAAGACTTCAACATCACTTTGAATTTCGTTTTTATCGATTAAGTTCGTTTTGGCTGTTTTGTAAAACAACAAAATTAGATGTTTCATATGCTTATTTTCAGCTATATATTGGGTCTGAAAAAAATATGTAACAAAACATTTCAAGTGAAGAAAAATAACAAAAAAACACGTTTTGTTTTTGGTGAATTAGATTTTGAGTGTTTCATAACGAAACAACATCGAAAAAATCAAACGTGAATAAAATGGAGATGGTTTCCTTTTGTTAATTATTGAAATTAAAAATCCTAGATAAATTTTGACAGCAACACAAAACCATTGATACATATAATGATTTAATTGAAAAAGAAAAACTATATCGAAATAATCAAAATATAATCACATGTAAGGATAAAAATGAAAGTATTATATATATAAAGGAATATTTCAAAAGTTATTTTTATATATTTCAGTATAAATACATAATAAAATTATTTCTCATTATATTAAGCATAATAAAACATGTTTGAAAAAAATTCATATTGTTTAAAATGAATATTTTCATACAAATTCTATAAAAATTTTAATGTGACATTTTTTTTTAAACAAACTTTTTATAAGAAATACAAAATTAAATTTATTTTATTTGTAAAAGTTGAATTAAATATAATCAAGAACTTCTGAAATATTTATTTTGATAAATCACTTTTCAATTCAATTTTTATTAACAAATTTTTCATAAAACGTATCTTGTTTCTTCAAGTTTCGAACGATTCACAAATCATATGAAATCAAAAAAAAACAAAAAAAATTGATTATTGTCATCAAATAAAAATATACAAATAGAATTCTATCAAAAATAAAATCGTCTTTTCAAATAATTTTTATTTTAATTCAATTCAAATTACAAAATATGTTTTTTTCTTTTCGCTTATAAAATTCAACAAAAATTAACAAAAGTTGAAGAATTTAATATTTATCTATCCGAATTTTCAACAAAAGAACTTCGCTTTATCTTTTAATTTTATTTCTCCCTTTTTTATTTAACAATAAATTTCATGCACGGAATTACTTCAAATTTTTGAATTCGATGATTCAAATAATCAGGAACGTAAAGATTTCCTTCATCATCAAATGATAACCCACTGGGAAGATTCAATTGATTTGATTGATTTCCTTTACCATTTCCACCAACAACAACTTCACCTTCTTCTTTTCCTTCACACCAACGCATTATTCGATGATTATGAGAATCTGTCACATAGATTTGACCCAGATCATCAACAATTACTCCGTGAGGTAAAGACAGTTGATTGAGATTTTTTCCTTGACCATTTCCTCCAGCTACAATTCTTCCTTCTTTTGCATCTTTTCCCCATTTTATCACACGATGATTATTTTGATCTGATACATAAACAGACTGATCTTCATCAACAAAGATATCAGTAGGATGATTGAGCTGATTGAGTCTATTTCCTTTTCCATTTCCACCTGCCACTATAGTTCCTTCATTTTCATATTCTCCCATTTTCCATCGTCTCACTTCATTCTTTACACCATTAGAAGCATAAAGGAATCCATATTTATCTATTGCCAAACCATAACAGTCAATATTGTCAATAAGAATTTGTTGATTTTGATTCACCCATTGAATCACTCGTCTATTCCAACGATCAGCAATGATGACTGAACGATTTTGTTGATTAATAATCACATCTGTTGGGTAATTCAATTGATCCATTCGATTTCCTTGTTTATTTTCACCTACAAAGATTTGTCCTTCTTTTGCATTATATTTGCATTCAACAATATGATGAATATTATAATCAGCAATGAAAATATTTTTGTATTCATCGATAAAGATTCCATAAGGGCATTTGAATTGATTTGATTCTTGTCCTTCTCCATTTCCACCAGCTACAGTAATTGCATTTTGTTTCCATTTCTTGAATTTTAGTTCTAGAAGAAAATGAAAAGAAAAGATAATTTCAAATGAAACTTTAATAAATATATTTAATAAAGATACAAATTTAGTTTTAGTTTTCTAATTTCTCAAAAACTTTAATATGAAATATCTAAAGTGTTGAAACTTAGAAGAAAAAGTTTTTTAGCAAACTTTTATTTCATATCTTATTATTCTTTTCTTTTACACACAAATATGTTTAATTTTCTATTTGTATTAATAAATAAATCGATAATGTTCTTGACTTTTGTATCTTCTTTATCATCACTTTTCTTTGTATTATAATTTTTTAGCATAAATTCATAGAAACTTACTTTTTTCTAATGAAATAATTGAAATTTCATTGATAAATGGTTGAGAGTCTTCTTCTATAGAAATAGTTGATGGATTATTTAGTTCTTCTGTAATTTTTCTTAACTGAATTCTTAGGTAATTTAAATTAATCTCATTAAATTCATTTTCTTCATGAATTTGTTTCACTTGCTCAGATAAATCATTAAATTTTATTTCAATATCATTTAAAAATGTTTGTGAATATCCAATGATAATATTTCTACAATCCTGGGCTTTTTGTTTAATTTTATCAATTGAATCTGTTTCCCATTGATTAATTTGATCTATTAAAGAAAGATCATGTGAATTTGGTTTTTGTTCACTAAATATTTGTTTACATTGATCGTAATCATTAATAATAAGATGTAGTTCTTCACTCAATATTTGACGATGTTCTGTTAAATCCACTAAACAAAAGTTTCTCAAACATCCTCCACAAAGATATGTTATTTTATCTTTGTTACATGTAAAACATTGTGTTTTATTGTTTACCATTACTACGTCTTTGAATATAAATTTCTAGAAGAAATGAATAATCTCCTTATCTGATTTTTAGATGTAAACTGTATAACTCAATGATAATAAAAATATTGTTCAGTACTTAAAGAAATCTAATATTCTGCTTTGCTCATTTTTTATATTATTTTAAAAGACTAACTTACCAAAATCAAACGATTTGAATGAGAATTCTGTCTACAGCAGTTCTAAGCGAACAAATAAATTATTCTTTTGGTACATTAACCACATATATGATCACATGGTATTTTCTTCTTCCAGTATTCTCCTCTTTTCTTTCATATATGATCGTATCGAATTTTTTTCTTTTTGTTATTATAACTCGTTTTTCTTCTACTCTTTTAACTTATATAGAAATAACCAAAGTATATGACATAAGTATTTATCCAGAATATGTTGTATTTCGGAGACGGAAATAATCGAAGAAATAATCACTACTCACCGTATAAATAATTGCGTTTTTTTTTAAATCGACGAACTATTACTATGCTTTCCAGCATACTCTCTTTTGTCAACCTTCGATTAGATTGTAACATCAATTATAATTTCTCTTTTATCGATTAAGTTCTTCTAACAATACATTTGATTTGAAAAAGAAAGACTATCAAAATAAATAAGTAAAATATGATCAAATTTAATCATAATTAATCGAATATCCCAAAATTTTCTTTTATATATCTCAGCATCGATACATAATAGAAGTTTGATCTTTTTTTTTTTCAAAAGATTCACTATGAAAAGCTGCAGAAGAATGATAATACCAAATATCTGCAATGATTGAAACGAATGATCTTCATAATTAAAACTAAAAATTTTAGATAATAAAACTATTTTTCATCATATTGAGCATTATAAAATATGCTTGAAAAAATATATATATGTGGAAATTAAATGTTTGTAATGATTAAATATTATAATAATCATCAATATTTCATATAAATCAATTTAACTGTTTAAATTAAAAGAGATAGATAAATCAAATATATTTATTTATAAAAATTTAATGAAATAATAATAATTGAAAGATCAACAATGGTATTATGATTCATATATGATTTATAATAAAGTCCAAATGACACCAATATTGGCATGAGGAAAGATTCTATGAGAATGACATTTCGTAAAATTTTTAATATTCAAAAAGAGAATATTTATAAGTCGATATGAATATGAATAGAAGAAAAAAAAGGAAATATTAAAATTGAATATAGTGATCTTATGAGAATAAGTGATATGTGGTATGTTCTGGTTAAATAATTCGATATATAAAATCAGCAAGAATTGATCATTACTCAATTTTAGATGCTTATAATTCAATAAAATTTAGTGGATAAATTATAAAATGATAAGAAAATATCTTTTTACTTATTAAATCACCAAAAATATGTTGAAGAATTTCGACAAGAAATCTGCTAAGAAATAGAAGAGAATTTAATGACAAGTTTTCTATCATAAATAATATTCAATTCGTTGTGTTGAAAGTAAAAATGAAACTTTATTATTTATTTTCCTTTATTCGATCATATGTCTACGTGTTAATATTCTTTCTTGTAATGAGTCGTTGATATTCAACATATATTCATTTTTTAATTAGAACTATAGAAATAAATAAGGATGTGGATGTGTATTCTTCTGATTCATCACTTGTGCCCACACCCTCAACACCCTTAAATACAAGTAACACGACGCAAACGTCGCTAAGCCCTCTACTGAAAGGATATGAACAGATCCGTCACCATGCATAAGATAAGATAAATATTTGTTTTAGTTCATTAGTCGGGCCACTTCTCAAAAAGTCTTTCACTGTGACTCATTTTACTTCCTCTAAGCTCTCATACTAACGTCTAGTCGTTCGTCGGCCTCCCTTTGGTCGGCCACTCACGACAAGCCGTCGACATGCATTGTCTATTTTTCTTTTTCCTCAACAGTCAGATGAGCATTTTTATACATAAAAAAATAAGTCGGACATATAGGATGGATTCATAACTAAAGACTTCTAGAATTTACATAATACGTGTGGCTTTCAGCATAGATTTCAAGCTCTCCTTTCTTTTCAGGAAAATCATAACCTGATCGATTCACTTTCGAAGGGATATCAGTTAAGTTCTTGCGAAAAACCGTTCAGACTACTTGAGAATTTTCAAGTCTATATATAGTATTAACTGTTCGAATTGACGTCTAGCCGTTCGTCGGCCTCCCTACGGTCGACCACTCACGACTAGTCGTTTCTATGAGCATCTCTATTATATCCTTCACTTCTCATTCACTTTGGATGGATATAAATGAGTTTCCTTTCATTCTCATTCCAAAACGCGGCGAGTTTCTGGTAATACGATTCCTAATAAGAAACTAAAAAGAGGAAGTAGTTTTATGAACCGCTACGATTAGAAGATATTCGTCTAGCATAGTCCTTCACATATTTGGAATGTTAGTTATATATCTGATGTGGATGAAGATCCAACACCAAGGTCGCAATCAGATACCTCGCTTTTATTCACGTATTTCTGCTAAAATTCTATCGAAAGATATGACGTGTGTTAGTCAAGAACGGAAAAATCTTCAATTAAAATTGATACTGAATTAATAACTTTTTCTTCCGATTACTTCGACTAAAGTTTCTATAATATAATCACTACTAAATCTTATAAATTTTTAAAAAATCAACATCGGATTTATGTTCTTCCACTCCGATAGCTTTTGAGTAAACTTAATAAAGAAAAATGTTTTTTGTAAAAAAATGGTCTTTTGTTTCAAAAAATTGAAAACTACAAAAGTTTCAAAAAACTAACATCAGGTTCGAGTTCCTCGACCTCGATTACCCTTCGGTCAACCCTTATAAAAAAATTTCTTTTTGTAAAAAAAGTGGTCCTTTGTGTAAAAAAATTCGAAAAAAATAACACCGAATTCGAGTTCCCCGACCTCGATAACCCTTCGGTCAACCCTTATAAAAAAAGAGGATAAGATGTTTTAATTAACCAATCAGATTAAATGAACGAACACACAAACGAACGAACGAACGAACGAACGAACGAACGAACGAACGAACACACACACGGACGAACATCAACTCGTTTTTTTCTGACATCTGCTCGACGCATAACCCTCCTTCCAGTAGAGGGAATAATATTAATCATTTTGTTAACGAGAATTAATGACGGTGTTAAGACAAGTCTCACCACTACCTTCTAAAATGATCATTTTTGAAAACTATCTCAGACACTAATTTTGAAATGTTAAGCAGGTTTGAATTCTATTTTATCGTTAGTTCGACATTTTGTCTAATCATTTTCAGTTTATAAATAATATTTTCAGAGATGAAAACTACATTGACATCAGTGTGGGACCTAAAACTAGGGTAGTTAAAACTCGGGTTATAACTTTTTGGGTTATAACCGATCAACTTTTTGGCCAAAAAGTTAATTAGGTTGTAACTATCAACCGCAGTTATAACCTTCAACTCGAGTTATAACTATGGTTGATAGTTATAACTCTAGTTATAACTGTTTTAACTTTTTACCGATTTTGTCAACTACTAACTTTTTAAAAAATAATTTTAACTCCCACACTGAAGTGTAATTATGGCTATCTTGAACTGACTTTGAACTGAAATAGTATGAATAATTAATCTTCAGTGCTGAAAAGGCACATAGCTTTTGTTTCTTCTTCTTTATTATAAGAATAATATATCTATATGATCACTATATATCGCCAAGGATTTTAAGAATTGTTCAATTGTTTTGCTGGTCGCTTTTTAAAAAGCATAGTTTCAAAAAAAAATTTACATTAAGAAAAAAGAAAAAAGACAGGAGGACATTACTAATCGATCTTTCACATGATTAAAGGATTTAGCAGGTTCACATTTGAAAAAAGTTGCTAGTTATAACTCTGTTTAAAGGTTATAACTACGGTTGATAGTTACAACTGCGGTTGATAGTTATAACTCTAGTTATAACTGTTTTAACTTTTTGCCAATTTTGTCAACTATCAACTTTTTGAAAAATAGTTTTAGGTCCCACACTGATTGACATGCAATTTTATTAAATAACAAGCTGAGAAATTGATATGAGAACTTTTTTCCAAAACAATACTCCCGAAACTTGTGAAATTGTATCTTGATAGTGGATATGAATGTGCGTGATGAATAAATTTTCGCCTTCATTTTTCAACAGGTTAGAAATAATATCACCATAAATTTATCAAATTTGTCTTTCATTATCCGATAGTCTATGCAAAAGACGGGAAATGTTGTTCTGTTTGATCGACATTTCTCGATTAATTGTTAAATCGAAGCGAATACTATTCCAATAAATTAGAAAAGTTCTAAAATAATAAAGAAACATTGATCATTGATGAATGCGTCGTCGCCATCGTCTGAATGTTTCTTGAAATGTTTTTCTGTATAGGTCTGAAGGAAGGACAAAGACAATAAAGATAAGTATCGATGGAGTAAATGAAATGAAATAACCAGAAATAAATAATAATCGATGATTAGATGGATTGACACATTCTGATAACATTGACATAATCACACGGGGTAGGGACAAAATTAGAAGAATAATTGGACTGATTAATAATTGTTTATGTTCACTAATTTGACTGTAAATATGTTCTTGCAGAGTTAGTCTTGTTTGAGCTGTTGATCGTTGTCGGGCGGATCCAAATATGATGAATAATGCAGAACAAAGATTGATAATACATGGAGCGACAAGATGAAAAAATAAGATGATTGTATTGTATTGCTGAACAAAAGAAGAATAAGGAGTTAAACACCATCTATCGATATCCACTTCCTTTGTCTCTGTCTTTACCTCATACAGTTCTCGGTGTATAGGTTCGTGAATGATTGAACTCATGATACAGAATGGTAGTATAAGAATTATCCGTCGAGCAATGCGTTGACTCTTTTGCTTATTGAATGCGATTCCTTTGAAAACAAGAATCGCTCTTTCAATAGCTACACAAGCATTGAGCCAAGCATCCAAATAAAGACAAAGCTTGAGAAGTGGTTCAATCGATACACAACCTCCTCGAACAACAGAAAGACGAATTGACAGATTTATTTGAGTGAGAACAACAAACCAAAACTTCACTGTAAATATACTGATTGTAAGAAACGATGTAATCGATGATGCGAAGAGATAGATGCCACATCCAACTTTTCGTAGTTCTTTGCTCTGAAATGTTATTAGAGACAAAATACTATTGATTAAACCTCCAACAAACATAATCATCGTTAAAGCGACACTGATTTTCACCAATATTGTTTGATCAGTGAATGTCATATTCGGCCGAATTTCGTCACGTAAAATATCATCGAGAGTGACACCAATACTTTTTTTGTAGAACTGACATTTTTGACCAATGAAACAACTGGTCACAATTTGAGCTAAAGAAAGGAATACTCGGTCATTAAGAGATGAGACCAATCATTCTCAACTTGATAAAGCTACATCAGCGGAAGTTTATAAGTAACAATAGTTTATGAAAGTCATTTAACATGGCATGTGCTGCCGAGCTTAAATTTTTATATTTCTATTGTCTCTTCAATAGCTCATGATGATTTTACTCAGTTCTATAAAGGTGTTTCTGCATATGAACTTGATAAATTTTCACAGACTGCAAGGTAATAAAATCTCAGATAGTGTGAAATCACTAAAGAATAGATCTTCTGAAATATATCGTTGATGCAAGAAGAAAAGCTGAATTAATTTACCCAACTGATTGAACTCATATAAAGAAGGAGTTCCGATGTGCTTCTATTTTTCGACAATAATTCTATCGAAGTATACGATCTATTTGAGATTCTCAGATCTTTCATTATTCAACAGTGAAAATCGACTTCAGTGGTATGTTGTAATTCTCTGTTGATGATTTACAAACGATACAGAATACTTACTATAAGGATTAAGAGTGATGTTATTTAGCCCAGATGTTAGAATGAAAAAATTTCCTGTTATATTTGGAGATAATGTTGTTACCACTAATATGTATTTAGTGCCAGTATGAAGATAAGCGATGATCTCGAAATCATGAAGATTACACCTTCGATAATCCTGTGAGCGTAGATTCTCGAAAGGACTCATTGGATTAAAATCATCTTTGTAAATATAACCAAATGTATCCATACTGCTAGAGCTACTGAAAATATAGTATCCAGTTTCCACTACATGCATTCGTATAGTTTCATAATAATAATTTGATTTTCGACAATCTCGAGAATATGTTTGACTATTTGTAGTCAACTCTGATGAATAATTCGATTGTTTAGCTGACGAATATCGTATTTCGATGACAGATGGAGAGCCTATGTGATGAACTCAAAAATAACAGCCAAAATTCATGATAGATCTTGATTGACTGAGAGAAAAACGAATCGTCTGGATGTAAGAACGAAAAGTAAGCACCGTAAGTCATCTCCTATATACCCTGAATATCGAAAGGCATGTCGAAGCTGAGCCTAGCTTTCTAAAGACATGACTCTCTATGATATCACTCTCAATTAAATAATTAAGCACTAAATGGAAAGTGAGAATATAATGTATAAACGTTTTCTATACTCTAACCCTCAATAATGTATGACACGAATGAGTCTGGAATAACTTCTTTATTTGGAAAATGGATTATATCTCAACGTTTTAGATATCAAAAATTATTTATTTATAGTCTAATTCTCCTACTACTGTAATTTATTTAAAAATTAAAGTACATAAAGATATCTTTTAGATTCATACAAAATAAGAATATGTTTATGTTTTTTATTTACGATGCATTATATTTAAAAGTTTTCAGCATTTTTTTATTGTAAAAGGGCTGAGTGACAGGACATGTTGTAAAAAAAAGCATATTTTTTTCATTACATGGTCACGAGCAGAGATTCATGCCGATTTGTATATTATTTACATCACATTAGCGATCGACTGAAATGGGTCTTTATTCAAGGAGATTGATATAATCCTATTCACAATATTCTGTTATTTCATGGATTTAATGTGGCTGTTTATGTAAGACTTTCTTCTTATAACACAAATGTTATCTTAAAAAACAAGTTTCTATCTGTGGATATGCTAAACTCAATTAAATACTCATGCTAACGTTGACAGATATTCATTTCATAGTTGTAGTGCAAACACTTACTAATATTCTTGAGGTCGACATTGTCTGGACCAGATACAAAGATTGAGAATTCACCTATCGTATAAGAATTCCACGTTGTCACAACCAATGTATATGTGATACTGGTTTCAAGAGCAATTGTGAATGTAAACTGTTTTTGATTGCAGCTGTTATTGTCATCTACTAGCCGATTTTCACGTGGATTGGATGGATTGAAATATTCTTTGTAAAGAGAACCGTATGTGTCCATATTCTTTTGGCTGAAAAAAGTGTAAAAACCACTTCTACGAACATTCACTTGTATCGCTTCATAGTAAGTACTTGACCAAAAACACAGAGGAGGATACATTGGATTGTTCGTTGTCAATTTTGATGCATAAACTGTTTGAACAACTGATGAAGTATTCACTAATCAAAAAGGAGATCGATTCTATCTTGTATAATATGGAAATAAATGTATACAACCAGAAATATTACTTTATATTTTCTCTCTCGGATGAACACATCAAAGACAAATGAAAGTAATATGCATGTTGATATAAACGAAAATCACTATAATCTCACTTCAAGATGGTAGAAAACACTTTGGGATATCGGGTGTGGTTGTAGAATAAGTTTAATTTTTACATCAACACTCACACACAACCACCTACATCCACATCCATCACAACAGGAATCAACTGTAACAAATCTGAATTCAAGAAGAATTGTTCGGATGCTATTCATAATATTCCGTTATATGATGGGGTTAATGTAGCTGTTTATGTAAAGCTTTTTTCTCATAATACAAATGTTATCTTAAAAAACAAGTTTCTATCTGTGGATATGCTAAACTCAATTAAATACTCATGCTAACATTGACAGATATTCATTTCATAGTTGTAGTGCAAACACTTACTAATATTCTTGAGGTCGACATTGTCTGGACCAGATACAAAGATTGAGAATTCACCTGTCGTATAAGAATTCCACGTTGTCACAACCAATGTATATGTGATACTGGTTTCAAGAGCAATTGTGAATGTAAACTGTTTTTGATTGCATCTTTTATCATCGTCTACGAGCTGATTTTCACGTGGAGTCGATGGATCGAAATAATCTTTGTAAAGAGAACCGTATGTGTCCATATTGCTTTTGCTGAAGAAAGTGTAAAAACCACTTCTACGAACATTCACTTGTATCGCTTTATAGTAAGAATTTGAACTTGAACAACGACGTGAATACGTTGAACTGTTCGTTGCCAATTTTGATGCATAAACTGTTTGAACAACTGATGAAGTATTCACTAACGAATAAGAAAATTGATTCAATTTTGTATAATATGGAAATAAATGTAAACAATTTGGAATTTTATTTTCTCGCTCAGATATGTTTACCGAAAGCGACTGGAAGTGATATGAATCTTAGTCTCTATCGAATAGAAATAGCTGTATATCATTTTGCGGATTGAGTTAATCTATATTTTCTACCGATGATGAATAAGTGCAGCTGATTATTTATTAAAAGACTATATATACTCACAAATACGACTGAAGCCGATATAGCTTTGACCAGATACTTGAATTGAGACATCTCCTGTTATATTCGAAGTAGATGTTGTTATAACGAAAACGTATTTTATATTAGCTTCAAGAATAGCTGTGACTTCAAATTGACCTTGCCTTTCATAGTCTCCATTATATTTAATCATATTTTTGGCCACATCAAATGGATTGAAGTCACTTTTGTAGATGCAACCATATGTGGTTTTCATCTTACTGTTGATCAGAAAAGCATAATATCCCGTTATAGTAACGTCCATTTGTATCGCTTCATAGTACGAATCTAACTCTGAACAATTTTTAAAATAAATTGAACTATTTGATGTCAGTGATGATAAATACATTGATTTTATTAGAAATAATGAGTTATCTATTGAATGAAAAAAATCAATGAGTATTTACATTTAGAATAAAGAAAAGAGATGATTGCGCATATTCATAGTTTACTTTTCATTCTGTTTACTGATTAGAGTTGAATCGTTTGTTTTATAACAATGCTTTTGATAGAGAAATGCAGAAAACCATGAAATAAAATATCTATTTAGTGTCCTTACAATAAGTATTTAATGTTAGCCCTTAAAATCAGCATGTTCTTTTCAAGAGACATTGTAATAATTATAACAAAGAAATGTTAGAAAACCTCGTATACCAAAACGAGTATCATACTGATTTAAGAAAGTCTAGTAAGTCATAGACTTACAATTTTGTGACTTCTTCATTATCATCTTTATCTTTAAACTTTTCTTTTTTTATAAATATAATGCAGAACATTAGTTTTTTTGCTGATATCACTAAGCATAACAATAAACTGTCTGATGAAACTACTTCACAAAGTTCTAGTCAATCTACGCGTATAGCATGACATCATCAAGAAAATGTCGGCTGGAAGTGGCATTCAATCTTAACAAATCAAAATATTCTCATATTCGATGCATTATTAAAATATTACAAGAGCTACTCTTTATTGATTTTTTATTCTAATAAAACGTGTGGTGAATAACCAGGTGACAATTGAATTTTCTCCTTCTTCTCGTTCATTAACCAAAATCATGATCGCAAATATAACATAATCGTTTTCCCATCTCGAGAGTAAAGGTAACATTCTGAATCTATGATTGCGCCACGACTTGTGGGTAACACTCGAGCGTAGTCTTTTCTTTCTGAGAGATGTTTTATATCTAGGAGTTTGAAAACACATAGAACAACTATGCAAAACGACTTTTTGTTGATTTCAAAGCAGTTTGTGAACATTTTCTGTTCTAAAATATGAAACTCGAAGTGAAGAAATTTTTCTTCACATCGATATTTACTTTGAAATGGTTTTAGTTCGATAAAGATTTGACGAATTTCGTTAAAAATTTTATTTCTCACGAATGTCTTACGTTTCATAAAACCACTGTGTGCATTATTTTCTACAGTCAGCAGCGGTAAGTGAGCACAGATAATGGTGAATCAAAGAAAATTTATACAGAAAGTTCAACAAAAGGAACTGAATTCATCTCTGACTTTCCAAATAAATACATAGACATACTAACTTCCATCTGTATTATGCAACTAACATGATGATAATATTATCGATTGACTTTTGTAGAGAATTATCAATAAGCAAGGTTTTTATTTTATAACAACAGTGTATTGGGATGAAATTTGAAATTTGAATTTGACTATTCACTAATTCAATTCAAAACCCATCAGGAGTTTCGTCTTCATCTTCTACAATAGTTTTTCTTTTTAATTCTCTGAATAAATATTGATTCAAATGATATTAGAGACTTTATTCGATCAATCTAAACTTACTACATGATTCTTCATAATATTGAAATTTTTGAATTCGATGATTGTTTTGATCGGTAACAAACATGTTTCCAGAGTGATCGAAACTAAAACTAAATGGACCATCTAATTGATTGGATTGTGAACCCATTCCATAACATCCAAATAAACATTGGAAACCATTCGAGTCTGAACCAACAATACGATTATTGTAATTATCCGCAATAAATAAGTACTTCTCAGTATCTAATATAATTTTAGTTGGGCAAAGAAGTGTAATTGTTGGATTTAGTGATGCTCTTCCAACTACTGTGATACCATTTGATTCTCCCGATTGGAACAACTGAACTCGATCATTGTCACAATCTGTCACATATAAATCCAAATTCGCATCGACAAAAATTCCAACAGGGCCATTGAATTGATTCGAGGCTGATCCTAGGGTTCCTGTCCCAGCAGCATTACGATTTAAAGTCATCAGAGAATCATTTAGTGATCTTTTCACTACTCGATGATGATCGCCAATTGAACAGTAAAGAGTGTTATTGATATCGACAAACAAATCAGCACAATATGAGTTGACATTCATCACCGTGACAAAGGTATTTGTTTCTGCTATCCATTTCTGTACTCGATCATTCTCATATCCGTCATCAATATAAATATCACCATTTGATAACACGAAGAGAGACATGGGTCCTGTAAAATTACCAGAAATGATCTTTGTTGGATTGACACTCTTTTCTTGCCACATTACAATTGTGTTGTTTTGTCGATTAGCGACAAAAATTGTGTTGTTTGTGTTCACAAAAATGGCGATAGGTTGTTGACCAACTATCGATTGATTAGCAAAAGTAATTCCAGTGGGATTCCAAGTGGCTGTTGAACAAAATTTTGGTCGATTGAATGAAAGAGCTAAAAACAAGAAAAATAGAAAAAATATTAGAGAAGAACTGTAAACGAAATGAAATTGTTAATTTATACATTCGTAGAAGAAAAATAAAATTTCTTCAAAAAAATTTCTGATTACAAAGATATTTAGGAGTGTTTGTGGACATTGACTTTAGGAATGATTTTTATTAGTTTTCATATGAAACATGAATTGTGATATTGTTAAAATGTTTCTGTTTAAAACACCGATGTTGATCATTCTAGATAAAATATTTTCGTATTACTTTTTCTTGAAAAATCTTCTGAAAGATCTGAATAAATTGTATCAAAGAAAATAGTTGAATAAAAGAAACTATTTATTTAAGGAACAATTATCAACAGAAAAGAAGAAATTTTTGTCAATCAAATTTCTGTCTTTGCAATTTTCAACATTTCATTCGCCTTTTACAAGTGAATTTTAATTATCAAGCTGGTTTTTTAAAAACAGTTCTGCACATATGTCATTGCAGATATTTTTGTTTTTGAGATATTTATTCAAACACAAATTTCGAATTTCAATTTTCAAACATTTATTCAAAGTTTCTCAAACTTTTTTCTGATAAATATTTGAAGTTAATTAAGGGCCCCCCCGGGGTCAAAAAAAATTTTTTTCTTCAAAAATACCGACTTTGAGATTCATCTATATTTAAGTAGTCCACCATGTACACTTTCGAATAGACTATAGTTTATCAGTTTTGGGGCGGTTTTTGAGGGTTTTACAGCGAGTTTTCTGAAAAACCTACATGAAAGTTTTATTTTCGAAAAGTTCAGTTATTGAAGCTATTTGAATTTTTCTCTGTACCAAGTTTTTAAGAAAAAATATATCGATAATTAAAGTGAAAAATTGTTTTTCGTTTTTCTCGAAACTGTTTTTAATGTTTTTTCTGTCAGTGTGTCAAAGATTTCTCCCCCATTTTAAGCGCTAGAACGCTCGGGAAGGTTTTAAAATGAAGCTGGATCTCAGCGCTACAACCTAACAGAGCCGGAATTTTTGTTTTTAATTTGGTTGTTTATGAAAAAATCCAGTTTTCTGAAAAGTTAATTCCGAATTTTTTCAAAAACCTTTTTCAAAAAAAAGTTTTCTTTTTTTCAAAAAACAGGCTCTGTTAGGTTGTAGTGGCAAGTGTTTTGTACATTTTGACACCATCCCGAGTTCCATATCATTGAAATTGCGAAAAAAATCTTTGACACACGGACACCTACTTTTTAGCCCTTAATGTTAAGATAACTCTCGCAAAACTCAATATTATGAGCTCATTTTTTTACTGAAAACGATCCATGGTCAGATACATATTCAGTAAAAATTTCAGTAAGATTGAGTGCTCTGGAAAAAAATAAATTTTTGACCCGGGGGGGGCCCTTAAGAGAAGAAATCAAAGGAAAACCATAAATATCATTATGTTATCTTAGGTGTATACTATTGAAAATATAACTCGATTTATCTTAGGAAATTTTATTAAGAAATTAAAAATAATGTCACTTCACGTCATACCGGTACTGAATGGAAAAACAAAGAAAAGTGTGAAGAAAAAATACGATTTCTTATGAACCGCAAAAATTCCTCTTTTCTCTCTATAGACATTCTTCATACACATATTGATCTAATTAATCTTTTTCAACCATTTTTGTTATCTTTCATTTTTTTTTGTATTAGAAAGTCTTCATTAACTTCTATTACTTATCTATTCACATCTCTTCATTTCATTCAGCTTTTCTTCAACTTACCAAAAGAATCTTTCATTAATAAAAATTTTTGAATTCGATGATTTCCTTGATCAGGAACAAATATGTTTCCAGAACGATCGAAACTAAAACTAAATGGCTTATATAATTGATTGGATTGTGAACCCACTCCATAACATCCAACTAAACATCGAAAACCATTCAAGCCTGAACCAACAATTCGGTGATTAAACTGATCTGCAATGAATAGATATTTCTCAGCATCTAATACAACTCCACTTGGATAACTAAGTTTAATTGTTGGATTTAGTGATGTACTTCCAGCCACTGTGATCCCATTTGATTTTCCCGACTGGAACAACTGAACTCGATCATTAGCAAAATCTGCCACATATAAATCCAAATTCGCATCGACAAAGATTCCATGAGGTTGATTGAGTTGATTCGGGTCTGATCCTTGAATACCTGTTCCAGCAGCAACATGATTTGAATCTATCACAGAATTAATTAATGATCTTTTCACGACTTGATGATGACCGTACATTGAACAGTAAAGAGTATCATTGATATCGACAAACAAACCTTCACATGATGAGTTAACATTCATTACTGTGACAAAGATATTTGTTTCTGCTATCCATTTCTGCACTCGACCATTTGCAACACCATCATCAATATAAATATCACCATTTGATATCACGAAGAGAGAATCGGGTGTAAAGTTACCGCGAATGGTCTTTGTTGGGTTGGCACTCTCTTCTTGCCACATTATAATTTTATTATTTTCTCGATTAGCAACATAAATTGTGTTGTCTGTGTTCACAAAAATGGCGGGACGTTCACCAACAATCGATCGATTAGCAATGATAATTCCATTGGAATTCCAAGTGGCTGCTGGAGAAAACTTTGGTTGATTGAATGAAAGAGCTAAAACGAGAAAAATATAAAAAAATATTAGAAAAGAACTGTAAAACGCAATGAAATTGTTAATTTATGATTTTTCTTGGAAAAAATCATTGAGATTATTTTTGAAACGATTTTTATGACTATTGTTGTATTTTCTCGGATGATTTGTAAATATGAATTAAGAAAGGACTGCATTCATTGAGAAAGATCTACTTTATTTATTGATTTTTTTTGTTGTAAAAGAAAAATAATTATACCCAATCCTTGAAAAGTGAATTTGATGGGGGGAAAAAGAATTGCTTAGAACAAAAATGACTTTATTGAAATTGACTGAGATATAAACAAAACGCCGTTGAAATTCAAAATCAATTCTCATTTTTATATGAAAAACATTGTGAATTTATTGATGTTGAATCATTTCAATTGAGTCTATATGTGAAAGAGAAGAAAAAATTCTCTTGTGAATCTTTAATTAAATACTCATTCGAGGAAATTATGAAAGAAACTCATATTGAAGAAAACCAATTTCCATTAACTTTTTTGTCAAATAATAATTAAATTTAATCAAACTTTTCCTCTTTTTCCTCTCATTATTTTGACTTGAATATTTTGAGAAAATAATTCCAGTAATCATTGAATCCTTTTAAAGATGAGAAAAGCTTCTATGTATTTGATCTTTGATTCAAATGTTGTCTTACTTAGCAACAATATTCTTTTAAGATAGTCTAGCGATAAAAATGGTAGTGTCAATCATAAATTTGCAATTGCAAAGTAGTTCTACATTATCATATAATTTTTGCTCTTTCTTTTTAGTAGATGTAATCATTTCTACAGCTTAACAGTTAATATCTTCTCATATGTAATCTTGCCTTCAAAGTGTCGATGAAGAATATTCATCATTTCATTGATCAGTTAAATTTATTTCTAGAAGATAATTTCATATGTTCTAAAAAAAGATTCTTTTCTTTTGTGTAGTTCAAAACTTTTAAATCCTTTTCATTTTCCATAAGAGTAAATAATATATCAAGTGCATGATCAACTAACTTCATACATCTCACTTTTATTTTTATACATGAAACTATTTGAGTACATCAGACACAATAAAATTATTGTATCAGTCATAGCATTTTTTATGATTATACAGGGGATGATGATTTGTATGAAATAAATGGATCTACATCTTATCTGAAACCAAACAAGTAAAATAATTTCACAGAACTTTGTTTTTATTTACACTAACCTGTTCATCTTTTCTTTATTTGATTTTGATTTCATCTGGAAAAGTCATTTCAACGTTTTTTTCCATATGTTATAATGCGATATGATAAAATAGATTTCTTTCCTTTCTCTTGTGTCAGATTCTCGTCTCAAGATCTACGACTAAATTCGATATCGGGAGAAGATTTCAGTAATACTCAAGTTTTCAGTCGTTTTGAAACTATGAATCGATGCAAACTCAGATATCTACAATACTATCAATAAGTATTCCAATTATACTTTTAAACTTAAAGTACACACATTCTTCAAATTAAGAAAAAGTCTCGCATAGCTATTGCAAGAGATCAATACCATCCCTTTCGAATATATGGCAGAAATTCCTGTCAAATTCTATAATTTATTATTTGACTTCCTTTTGTTCAACTAAAACTCTAACGAATAATATCATTTTTGTGCAATAGCTGATCGTCAGTATGTGATAAATAAAAGTATTTACCTGTTGTTTCATTATTGAAAATGAACAGAAGAATAATGATAAATACGTAGATATTCCACATCATTCAACAAGAGGTTTTTTGATAAATTAGTTAACTAATAAAATAATCTTCTTCTTCTTCTTTGTCTTCGATAAAAACAAAATGAAACTTGTTGTAAATTGTCTCTCTACTTATATATTTCTCTTTTCTCTCTTTTTCTCTTATTAATTTCTTCTCACATAGCACAAAGTGAAAAGATAGTGTTCTAGAGAATGTTTCGTCATAGGTAAGATAAAAATTGATTTTAGAGTGAATTAATAAGCAAAACTGATGATTTAATTTGATATTTTTCATTTAATTTCATTCTTTTCGAAATTCGAAAACACAGAATAGCATTTAAATTCGACATAAACCTTTTCTCTTTTTGATTTTATAGAAAATCAAAAGATTTTAATGAAGAAGAACGTGATGAAGAGAAATAGAGAACTGATGAAAATCTGCATTAATCACCGGACGTGTTTTAATTGAAAATAAGATATCAACTATCATCGTCAATAAATCATTGACGTCAATGAATAAGTCATGATTAGTTTGATATTTTTTATTTGACTCTGTTAAATAATGTGCTTTGTCAGGATTCACTTTTTATCACGTTCTTTATTTCTCTAGGCGCAATAAGTATTTGTGTGTGAGATATATATAAAAAGCAGTATTGTTCATTACGATAGGATGTGTTTTTCTCAGAAACATTAAGAAATGATGCATGAATTCAACTCGAAATTCAATATATGCAAAAGCAAAACTCTAAAAATAACATCTCTACTTGAAACTGATAAGTGAGAATGTGGATGAAAGATGACTACACTTTCCGCATCTTTGGTCATGCGCACATTCGCACACCCTTAATTATATACAAAACTCTGTGAACTAATTTGAATAAAATATTTATCTTATAAAATAATTGAAAATCAGCAAAGTTTGATTTTTCGAAGAATTTATTACTATGTCAAGACTTTATTTATTTTTTTTATCGCAAGAGTCAGAATACATTAAAATTACGACATCAGGAGAAGGGTGTGGGTCTGTGTAAATAGAGAACAAATCAGCACCCACACCCACCTTCAGAAGTTTTACGATGTTTGTCTAACTCATATAAGAAAAATCCAAGCGCGCGAGTTCTCTGATGTTTGCCTGTCTGACTCATATAAGAAAAACCAAGCATAGGAGTCTTGTGATACTTATCTCACTCACATAAGAAAAATCCAAACACAGAAGTTTCATTATGCCTCGTACGCTTACTGGATGCCAATAACAGACGTATGGGGATAGAATACTCTGGCTGCGATCGCACCCTCTTTCAAAAATACTTTACTATTTTTCCTAGCAAAAATGGTCCTCTACCATTAAAAATCCTAGATGAACCACTGCTAAATTCATGTCGTTTCTGGTGAATTTCATCAGGATCTCGATGCCGAAATGAGCAACCTAGGCTGATAAATTTATCTTTTCCTTCGATAGATCGTAATATAATAATTATGCATATGATAGAGTAGATGATGAAGAAATCTATTGAAAGTAATCTTATCAAATACATTTTCTGATATATATATTTATTCAATTGCATCATAATCCATCCATCACACATCCTCTTAATAAGTCATCGGTACAATACATTATTATCTGCTAGAAAGAGTGGATATTTATTGTGTGATTGATTAAGTGTGTTTTAACTAATTGAACACATGTTTAATTATTATACTGTGATCTACTAAAGGAATATAAAGTTGTGAACTATATGAGAAAAATCTGTCGGTCAAGTGGAAATTTTTTTATTAACGAAATAGGATGACACTGTTGGAATTTAGTCGTGAGTTAATCTGTATTTGTTGAGCATAATGACCTCCACCTATTGAACTCGATGATGAATTCAGTATTGAGCATTGCTTTCTTTAAAGATCTTTATTTTCTTTTTATTTATTAAATTTATTAATATATAAATGTTATTGCGAAATATATTAAAACAATTTTCATAACTCTCTTTCTTTCCTAGTAGTTATCGTTACTTTGAAAATGACTCATAGATATGACTCTTATAAAGAATTCGTTAAAAGGTGAAAAGAGTCAAGAGAAAGCTTTTAGGTTGCTTCTCTTTACTGATATAAAAGATGCGAATTGAGATAATAAAATAATGTATTACTCTTAGAAGATAACAAGAAATGACGCCATTATCAACTATGAATAATTAAAAAGGGAAATTTCATTTATTATTTTTTTCCTTTGTCATGATGACGTTTCGTTTGTATATAAAACCGAAGCAGTAATATTTTGAAAGTTGCATAGAATAAAAGCCGTTCATCGAATCTACAAATTATTTTCTAGCATTTTACGGATCATATTCATGCAGATTCCTTAACTAAAAACAAGAGTGCAGTATAGTTTCAATGGCTTGCTACACGTATCATTGACTGTAGTGAAAAACTTCATGGCATAGTTAGAGTTTGCCCAATAAATGTAACAAAGGAAGTTGACGAATTCAAACAAAAAAATATCATATTGCTTTCTACATAAAACATGTGTGTTTCATTTCATTTTAGATCTTTTTTTCATTCTGGTTTTTCAACAATAATTTGTGCGTCATAGTTGTGAATTTATTCTGTACGTTGGAAATTTCCAAAAAAGAAAAACAAATTTCATCTCTTATCGTCGATTTCTTTTTATTATTCTTTACAAATAATAAAACTATTTAAATCAATTCAAGTTACATTTTTCAAATAACGACTCAAGTATGTTTAAAAAATTATAATAAGTTATTTGTTTTTCTTTTACAATATTTTGATTATATTATATACAATTTAGATTAATACAAGCCATGATGGAAGAAAGTCAGTCAACTGATAGTGATGAGAATGTAATCTTTTCGACTACAGAACCATTCCCGAATGGTTCGATGATAATGGCAGATGGGCATCATCCTCAGAGTGAAAATATCGAACTACTAAACATAAACAACACTAAAAATTCATTCATGTCAAAACATTTACATGCCAATAAGTTATTTAAAATGGAAAATCGTGTGAAAACTAGAACTCGTCAACGGGAAGCGGTGACAGCTCGATACCAGAAACTCAAAGAATCAACAGCAATTCAAGATGAACAATCTGAGATTCCTAGTCATGAGCATCGATATCGATGTTGGAACTTAAAAATTTTGGTTCGAATGATAACTCTTGTTTCAATATTTGGAATGATTTTTGTGACGATTAAACATAATTCTTCTTTTGGCCATTCAACAGATGCATCATCTACCGCTGTGTATAAACATGATATACTAATTACAAGTCCATATTATCTTAATACAGGTATATCAGCGTTTTAATAGAAGAAAAACTAATAGAAGTTTATCAATGACATATGTTCGAAACATTTTTCAGTATAAAGCACGAAATCCATTCAGTGTAATAACTGGTTAGAAAAGATATATATGTAATAAACATAAAAAAATAAACAGAGTATTTCTCATTAACCTTAAATATAAATAATCAAAGATTAATACTTTTTTATTTAAATTTTTAATTACAATTAATTGTTTATTTCATGTACTAGTCAATCCGCAAGTCTTCATAACGACGTATTCATTAGTATTAACTCCTGATAGTCCAACATACTGCCGTGATATTTCCATAGTGCTTGACAAAGCCGATGAAGATGACAATGAATTTATCCAGGACAATTACGGCGAAGATCTCAAAGATTTTAATGAGAACATCGATATGTATTATTATGAAATCGTTTATATTAATGTAAACATGTCTGGATATTACAATATTGAAAGCAATAGTATTATTAATACATATGGTTACATCTATAATGGTAGTTTTGATCCATCTAATCCATCTAAGAATTTACTCTTAGAAGATGACGATAATGGTGGTATCGGACAATTTAAACTTACATATTTTCTTTGGCCTGAAATTAACTATATTCTAGTTACTACTACCTTCTTAAACAATGTAACAGGATCAATCTTAATTACAGTATCAGGCCCGAGTTTTGTTATTTTTACTGAGAGAACAACTACTCTTACAACCTCATCGATAATGACAACCCAAACAAGTAAGAACTCAACTTGTTCAAGAATGTTTATGGTATAAAATAGTTTAGTTAATAGTGATCATCAGATCAATTTTAGTTGTTCGTGACAAAATAAAAAAAATCTTCATCTTATCTTTAACTTTTTTCAAATTTAAGCAACACAGCATGGTCCATGCAGATAAGGACACTTGAGAATCGTTTTATCTGTAGTATAAATGAGCAAACTTTCTGAAATATATTTATAAAGTCTATTCAATTTTTTTTTTACTTCAAAGGTACTTCATCGATCGTGATATCAAGATACTCAGCAACATTACCTTCCGATAGCCAAACTTACTGTCGTACAACATATAGCTGTTCACTAGATGGATATTACTACTATGAATCCATTGAAGTACACGTGAATAAGACTGGAATTTATCGTTTCATAAGTGATAGCAATTTGGATACATACGGTTATATTTATATCAATGATTTTGATCCATCTAATCCATCTGAAAATATACTCTCACAAAATGACGATGCCGGTGGGCATGGACAGTTTAAGCTCATCAAATTTCTTCGAGCTTGGAATACTTATATTTTGGTTGTGACTACCTACTCTCCAAACAGAAAAGGTAGAGTCATTATCATTGCATCTGGTCCATCAACTATTAGTTTTACTCATTCAACAAGTCATCGATCATCGACAACAACAACAACAACGACAACATTCGAAACGAGTGAGTATTAATAACGGTTGCCAGTGCAATCTTTATAAAATAGAAATATGAAAGTTAACTGAATTCGGAACACATTTTCTATAAAATACTCATATTGTTCTAATTGATTTTGTTTTTCATTCCGTTATAGCTACTGCATGGAGTGTGGAATCAACGTATTCATCATCATGGAATATAAACAGTCAAAGATATTGTCGAACAGGTTGTTCAGTTCCGAGGTACTATTACGAAGGAGTGAAAGTGAGCGTTTTAATGGCAGGAAAATATAGTATTGCAAGTAAAAGCATCATTGATACATATGGGTATCTCTATAATAACAGTTTTGATCGATCTAATCCATCTCGAAATTTACTTTTACAAGATGATGATAGTGGTGGTAATAAACAATTTAAGCTCACACATTTTTTTCAACCAGAAGCTACATATATTTTAATTGCGACAACATTTGATCCGTATATGATGAAAAAATTCTCGATTAGTGCATCCGGTCCAGGATCCGTTATTTTTCATTCATGAATATTTATACAAACATTGTAACTTCGTTATTATTCTTTCATTATTAAATTCTTGAATTAACCCTCGAACGGTTTTTGGGGGTCCGACAAGACCCATAACACTATTTTTTTGATTTTTTTACACGAAGACGCATCGTTTTTGGGGCCATCTCTCTGCTAATCGTTAGTCATATGACGACGGACATACACCATATTAAACTTCACGCTAAAGCCTTACGCTTAGAAAACTGAAGTGTGGGTCTACACAGACCCCCCGACACCTTTGGTGTTATGTAAGCGATTTTAGTACATATTCCGCCTGCCATCTATTTTTTTATAGTTTATCGAATCCAGATTCGTTAGTACAACACTACCAATAGTAGATCATTTACATTCTTAAATATTTTTCTGACGATTTTGTTATACTTTTTCAAAATATCTCGCTCTTCATCATTTGTGACCATCACAACAATCGTATTCTAAATTTTCACACTGAAAATAATTAGCCTGAGAACTTTGGTGATTGTTTATATACAGAATTCAATAGTTTCTTAGTTTTTCAGATAAAAAATGACTAGTAAAACGAATCTAAAAAGGATCCGAGAGATCTATCTTAGAAATGATAATGATGATCTTGATAACACTGTTTCTGAGGATGATAAATCGAGTTCTGGTTCAGATTCAGATTATTGTGGATCTGAAACAGAATCCAATGACACATCCACTGATGAATATATTTCCAAAGATGATGACTCATCTGATTCGTATGCTGCCGACAATGATACCAATATCAATATTCAACCAGATACATTAGAAAAAAATGGTGTTCGATGGACAAAAGAATGTAACTCAAATCATGGTCGTCTTCGTGCCACTAACATACTCAAGAAGAAAGCAGGTGCTGTTACTTCCGTTAACACAATAGTTGATGCTTTCAAGCTCTTCTTGATTGATGAAATATTAGATGCAATTATATTACACACAAATAATTATGCACGAAGATATTATAATCAACTAAATCAAAAAAGAAATGCTGGTATTTATAAATCAAAATTAATTCTATGGAAAGAACTCGATCGTATTGAACTAGAAGCTTTTCTCGGTTTATTAATTCAAGCTGGTGCTGCACATATGAATCATCGATCTATTGATGAATTATGGGATATAAGCAAAAATTGTCCTTTATATCGTGCTACAATGGCATTAAAACGGTTTCAAAATCTTTTACGATTTATACGATTTGATGATCGTCTACAACGTAATAAATCTGATCGACTGGCTCCAGTTCGATATATTCTTGAATCTTTTGCAAAACAATTACCTCGGCATTTTATTCCAGGTGATAATGTAACAGTTGATGAACAACTGGTACCATTCCGTGGTCGTTGTTCTTTTGTACAATATATGCCTGGCAAGCCCAGTAAATACGGAATTAAGTTTTGGCTTCTATGTGATGTTGATGTTAGATACACTTTAGCATTAGAATTATACGCTGGTAAAATAAATAACGTGATCCAACGAAACCTTTCTACAGATGTTGTTTTACGTTTAATTGATAAATTATCTGATCAAGTGAAGCAAGGCCGTAGCGTAACTTACGATCGATATTTTACTAGTTTTGAATTAGCTGATGGTTTACTTGAAAGAAAAATGACTTCATTAGGTGTTGTCAATCACAAACGTTCATTTGTTCCCGGTGAATTAAAAATTATTCGAAATAATCTTTACTCTTCTTGGTTTTATTTTTCTGGTGTACATACACTATTGTCTTATCAAGCAAAACAGAAAAAACCACCAATTATTTTATTATCAACTATGCATAATATTTCTGAGGTGTTCGACGATGAAATTAAACTTCCTGTTATGATACATGATTATAATCAAACAAAATTTGGGGTGGATGTGATGGATCAATGTATCAACGGTTACACAGTTCGTAGAATAAGTAAAAGATGGCCTATGATTGTGTTTTTTAATTTAATCGATATTGCAGCAATCAATGCAATGACTTTATGGTTATGTAAATATCCAAATTGGCATAATCAACGAAAACATGTTCGACGTCTTTTCTTAGAAGAGCTCGGAAGATCATTAACAAATCCTCATAATACACGTCGTAGTGAACAATCTGGTCATGCATTAGAAGTAAAACTTGCATTACAATCTCTTGGTTTTGTGTTAAAGCCGAAATTATTGATAAATCAAGTACATATGGAAAATTCTGTTAAACGAAAACGACGGTGTTATATGTGTCCATCGCATCCTGGCCGTAAAGTACAACAAGTTTGTGACATATGTAAATATAATGTCTGCAGATCTCATTCATCCAGTTTCACCAGTGTTATTTGTCATTCATGTGCAGAAAAATAATTCAACAACATGAAACTTGATTAACATCACTATACAAGAAGAACTTAATTTTTTTAGCATGATATTGATGTTGATGTTTTTTTTATCGATTATTAAGAATAAAAGAAAGCGTTTTAACTTTTTATACACGAGATCGTACATAAATTATATGTATATATATACAAAGATATTCATTCAGTAACATTTTAAAATTAGAATGTTATCATAACCTTTTTTCAAAAACTTTCATGAAAAAAACTCGTCGTTTTATACATTATAGACATACTAATATATTCACACTTTGATAAAAAGTACGGTATAAGGTGTAATAAACCACATCTATTGCAGAAATGATGAAAAACCAAGTTTATCTAACTTATTTTTATGTGGGTCTCTCTGGACCCACAAAAACCATTCGTGTGATAAAATAGGGATACCGTTCGAGGGTTAATGACAAAATAAAGTAAAACTTCTTTCTGATCAAATCATTACAAATTTATACAATTGCGGATAGAAATATTTTGCTGCACTAGTTTTCAATTTCATCGAGCTATTTCGATGTGATTTATTATCTACTTAAATAGTGGACATTTTTATAGTAACTAAAAGATTATATATTATTCATATATTATAAAGTTGAATAATCATGATGTTATCGAGAAGTCTTCTTATTTACTTTCTTACGCAAATACTTATAAATATATTTGTGTCCTGAATATGTCGCAATTGATTTACTAACAATGATGACAATTCAGTGATCATTACTATTAACTAGATAATGAAGATCTCAGCTTAATCATCTAAGTTTTGTTTCTCTTATTGCGAAAGTTATTACAAATATCGTTTGAGTTAAAAAATATTTTCTTTTTTATCATTGTACAAGTTCATATCATTTGTTGTTCATAGTTTATTTGTATTTATAGAAAAAAATTCTCAAATGAAATATGATTTTCAAATAATATGTTCACTGATGATATTATCGATAATTATCTATTTTATTTAGATATTGATATTGATTTAGCAAAGCCAATTCGTCGTTTACGCAAGTCGAAACTAGTATAATAATGGCCCATAAATGTGTCGCCAAGTATCCATAAAGGATTGCCGTTCTCGGCATACATATCCATAGCATGAAGAGCAGGAAAACAAACAATTTTATCATTTGATGGATCTTCTACTGAGTGAACATATTGTGTACTTATCAGGGTTAGTCGTTCGTCACCGATGACAAAGGTTAAATTGGGTAAAGACGATGCATGTGAACAGTCGACAGTGCCTGTCTGTAATAAAAACAAAACATTAATTTTAATCTTATCTGTGTCTTACTTACACTGAAAGGTGACGTTACACTGAGATCAGGAACTAACTCTTGAAAACGTCTAATGCCAGTATACGATCCCAAAATATATGATGTACCAGAATCAATGAGTGCTTCACAACCACCTTCACACAAGTTCAAATTACCCGCATAGATTCTATACAGAACGACAAATCACCAGTATTAGGAATTTAGTAATATACGTTAATAACTGACTCACCCGTCTAATCGAATTTGCCATGTTAAATTTTGTTGCTGTGTAACATTGACAAAGATCATATCACCCTCGAAGTATTTAGGATCGACACCACCAAACATGATCTCTCCACCTCGTTTATGTTCTGGATGTCTAAAAAGATAATACTTATTATCTATATTAAATTAGTCTTGCAATACATACGGGTCGAGCCAAAATGAAACGATTGGTTGATCAATTAAATCTTGATACCAAAGCATAAAAACAAGTGGTAGCATATGACCCTTAGAAATAGATTTAAAACCAAGACCTAATTGAATCAATTATTCTATATATTCTATTATTTTTCAAAGAATGTTTTGTTACCACATATGCCATCCGCATGACCAGCTGTGTAAATATCGAGAACCCGTGCTGAGGTGATTTGAGCGAAACGTTGATTTTTAATAGCTAAACCGTTTATCTATTGAAATGAACATTTGAATAGAATCTGAAAAGACATATGTAACTTCTCTGCATACTGAAACAGTATCTATACCAATATAACCTGATACACTACTTGCATCCCCATAGGTTATCTCAAACATTGTTTTATTTGCTGGATTCTTATATGTTGATGATTTTGATGCATCAAAGCGATGGATAAAATCTTTTCAAAAGAAAATACAATAGATATAATTAATCACAATTTATATATATATAGAATTGCCAATAACATACTATTACATCCAATACTGTTGCAAGTCATCGATGGTACCCACAGATCTGAACTACCTGTATCAAAATCAACATTGAAGCATTGTGGAGGTGTACCAATACATAATTCTCCCATCCAAAAAATCTAAAAATAGTATATAGAAATTGTTTGGTTAATTAAATCAACTTACATTTTTAAAATTTTGAAGATTTTCACCAATCTTCTTAACGGTCGTATTTAATTGAGTATGATGATGGATTTTTATATGATGACATTTACATTTCTTATGTGCATTCACATTTTCTAATAAATAGTTACTGCTAAGAATTAGAAAGATGAAAATAAACTGCATCGTTTGATACATGAATTAAATGAATGATATTCATTCGTCTTTCTATATGAAATAAATCCTTGTTGGAATTTTCTTTGTATAAATTAGTCATCTTGCCATAGAATAATAATCATTGCTTTGTTGATAAAATCCTTCTACTTTTTGTTATCTACTTTCTTATCGTGTAAAATTGCAACGTGTCATGCGCAATTTTTACATAAATGTATTAATCATAAAAATAATGTTTCAACTCATATTAGATGTTTACTTTTCAAGTTTATGTGAAATATTTTTAAAAACGAAAATAATTTTTAAAACATCGTATTTTGTTATATGTAATGCTAGTTTGTATTAACGCTTTTAAATAGTATGAAAAAAATTCGCTTCATTACAAGATATTGAGATGAAATTCTCAGGAAAGATTTCTTAGTCTTCTTCCGACTCGGAAGAGAACGAATATAGTAATGTATTCATGCATCTTCGTTCTCTTATATGTAATTTTTAATTTTCTTATTGATTATCAATAGGTTTAATTACTATTGTGTAGATTTTAGTTCTTAATCGTGAATAAAATGAAATTTAATTAACTCTTTCTCTTTTTCTATATGCAATGGAATTAATCAGTATTAGTAAAATATACCAATGAATAACTTTATAGCAAAAATGTTAAAACAATTATATTAACATATTGTTTATTGATCGAAAGTATGAAACAGCTAAACGTCGAAATACAATATGTGCTTATTACAGTTTAGTAACAACAATATCGAATAGTTATATTGACAATTACAAAATGAATATGATGATCTATTATAATTGAATGTACAATTACGTTGTGAACCGGAAGATCTACTTTGAAAATACCACTAGTATTAGCTATTGCATATTTATCTAGAAACTTAATCGAAAATATTTTAAAATGAACGCTGTATTTATTTATATATTCTTTTATCATATAATACATAGAATTTATTTAAAGATTCAAGAATGTGTGTGTCAGCGTGATAGCCTCGTGTCCTACGCTCATATCCAAATCTTCAAATTCAAATCTATGTAATAGGATACGTCCATCGTGTAATGTTTTACGATAATAATGTTAATAGTTAAAGTCATAAAATGTCAATAAATCAATAAGATTAAGTTCGTGAATAAGTTTCAACAATGTAAGAGAATACTGATGGTGGTCGTACCATAGTTTGCTGCAACGATATCAATTTTATTGTCATTGTTCACGTCACCTACTGCTACTGAATGCGGACTAGCACCAACCGAGTAACTTAATTGAGAAAGAAATGTTCCATTGCCTGTACCGAGAAAAACACCGATGGCATTCGAACCAGGATTTGCGACGATAATATCTTGGTTATTATCACCATTTATGTCACCGATTACTACTGAATATGGACCAGAACCAGAACCAGTTGAATAAGTAACTTGAGACATAAACGTTCCATTGCCCTTGTTGAGAAGAACACTAACGGAGTTCGAATCGACATTTGCGGTGACAATATCGATTTTATTATCATTATTGAAATCACCTACTGCTAACGATTGCGGACCTGGATCAACTGAATAATTAGTCTGAGAAGCAAATGTTCCACTACCTATGTTTAGCAGAACACTGACGGTACCTGAACCATAGTTTGCGACAATAATATCGATTTTATTATCATTATTTAAATCACCCATTTGTACTGACACCGGAGTGGCACCAACGGTATAAGTAATTTGATTATAAAATGTTCCGTCGCCTTTATTGATAAAAACACCGACGTTACTTGATCCAGCATTTGCAAGAATAATCTCCGACGCGTTATCATTATTCACATCAGCTACTGCTACTGCGTAGGCATACGACTGAGCTGAGTAAGTAACTTGAGAGAGAAACGTTCCATTGCCTCTGTTGAGAAGAACGCTGATAGTGGTCGCACCGTAATTTGCAGTAGCAATATCGACTTTATTGTCGCGATTCATATCACCTACTGCTACGAACCATGGACCTGAACCTGAACCAGTCGAATAGGTAATCTGAGACGAAAAGATCCCACTACCAGAATTTAGAAGAACGCCAATATTGTCCGAACCATGATTCGCGACGACAATATCGGATTTATTGTCACCATTTACATCTGCTACTACCACTGATATGGGAGCAGAGCCAACTGAGTAAATTGTTTGATTGTAGAACATACTGTAGCAAGCTATCAAATAGAAAATATATTTCTTTATTTATTATAATGTAGAAGTAGAATCTGATGATCATATTTTATTTCTATTACAGCTAAAATGACGAATAAAACCATATATATTAGTTTGTTATAAATAATCTTTGATTTGTACAATATTCTGGTCAATCTATATTTTTTTACTACATTTTTATTGTTATTTATTTCCATTTTTGATATGGCGACATTAATAACAATATTTCTTTGATATACTTTACCATGGTTATAATTTCAATCCAATGGAATTGATATGTTCGTTAATAAAAAACTAATAGAACATTCTTCAATTCTATTAAATTAAATCGAGCTAGATAGATGTAAGTCTCTCTATATTTTTTAAATTGATTCTGTAATAGTATTAATATTTGCTATAAACGGGATGCCTCTCTTCCTTAAAGTGATCTGAATGGAGATCAATAGCTGCTACTCTAACTCAATTCGCAGAAAAAGTTCACTGAAAAATCAGACATAAGATAATTCATTGCTTAAAATGAAGACAATAGATAATCAACATAGAAGAAGAAAGATACTCATCGATTTTTGTGTAGATTCTATTGAGAATTGAAAGTGAAGAGAAGAAAAAAACAAATGCGTTGAATAATAAGAAGAAATATCAGCTGTAATCTCTAATCTCAATATATAGTCATATGTAGATTTTTTACTATTAAGTTTTGCAACAACAGAACAACTGGAAACTTTTTCTCAAGTTATTTATGTAGATGGAGAATATGTGGGGGATATAAAAACTAGATCTTACATTTTTAAACATTCGAACTAATCATAGATCAGAAAATTTTAGTCATACATATCATCTAGCAAATTACTTACTAGTTGTTGTCGTTGTTGTTGACGACGTGGATGACGATGTTGTTGTTGTTGTTGTTGTTGTTGTCGTCGTTGTTGTCGTTGTTGTCGTTGACGACGTGGATGATGATGATGTTGTTGTAGTTGTCGTTGACGGTGTAACTGATGATGTTGTTGTTGTTGTTGTGGATGATGATGATGATGTTATTGGTGATGAAGTTAATGATGATGTAGATGATGGTGGTGAAGTTAATGATGGTGTTGATGACATTGGTATTGCTGTTGAGTTTGCATTGGATATCGGATTAGCTGAATTTGTTATTGATGTTGTTGTCACTATTGATGTGGTTAATTATGTTTTTAATAAAATGAGATTTATGTAAGGAAAAAGACTAAACTAAATTTTTCTTTCAATTTAATACTTTTTCAATTGATTAGTATTATATTTAGCTTTAAAATACATTTCAACAAGTTTCGCTGAATTTAGATATTTCTTTTTATATTCATTTTTATTAATATTTGTACTACAATAATAAGAATGAATAAGTAGAAACGTAGCATCATCTTTTAGATTTTTTATATATACTTAGCTGATACATTCTAAACTTGTTAAATAAATCGATTTATTAAAAAAGTCCCTTTATATGTAATTGTGTTATGCGTTTCTTTTCTTTTCTTTCTGTCTATATACCATATAGTCATTTCATTATTTTCCTCAGTTAATTTTCCTGAGGAGAATGGTCAAAAAAAAAACATAATAATATTTTTTGTTGTAGTGTTATACTCTTTTTTTTATGTCATTTAATCCTTCCTATACCCTCACATAATTATATATGAGATTTATGTTGACAAACGAATGACAGTAATTTTGATTACGAAGCACATGTTGAACTTTGCGTTTGATAATATTAACCCATTTCTCATCCTTTTCTGTTAGATAAAAGTTAAAAATATTTCAACAATAAAAAGGATCATCTTCAATATCTTCTTAAATTTACTAATGATATTTATCTACATTTGAATGAACTCGTTTCATCATTTTCTGTAATCAATAATCTAACTATAATAAAATTAGTCAGTAACAACTAGAGGTGCTACATTATTTTTTTACTTGGTAATAATTGTTATTACTAACTACTTTTATTACTTTTTGACCGTATTACTCATATTATCTTTCGTAATTGTTAGTTACGAGTAAAATAATGTAGTACCCCTAGTGACAACTAATATCTATTTGTTTTATTATCTATATCTCTAATGATTTTTTTTACAGTAAAAACTAATTTTATATCAGTATTAATTCTCAAATCGAAGGTTTAACGATTGATTTCGTGTTGTTTCTCTCAATTGTATCTTTATATGTATGTTTTAAAATAATTTCTTTGTAAATATATTATTATACTAACCCAATGGGGTCTGTGTTGTATCAATAACGATCATAGTAATAATATCTGCATTAGCTAACATATTCACATTTCCATTTGATATATTAGCAAATAATTCACATTTCGAAGTTGATTGATGAAAACTAACTGCTTTACATTGAACTTGTGCTAAACAATTTATTCGACACTGCCGAATGTTTGATACTGTAGCAGTGATAAATGATAAACATGTTGTATTAGCACATTCAAATTGCCAACCAAACATTTCAGACATATGAAATGAACGTATATCTTGTGTTATGATTTGTGTAACAAAGATAAATAGAAGAAATAAATAGTTTCTTTTCCAATACATAACTAACATGACTTTAAGTTTAAGAAAATATCTTAACTAATAATAAAATATAGTGCGCAATAAAAGAATAATAGAAATAATTTCATATTCTTTTTTTCCTCGTATTATACATCGTATGTTATTGACAATGCATTACTATGGTAATGAAACAGTCATCACTTCCTTTATATCAATTATTTTGAAACATTTCTTTTTAAAATTAATGCAACATTTTGTTTTTCCGTCATTTCAAATACATTTCATAATTAAAAGGATGATTGTTTGTTAGGTTTTATGTAGTTTGAGGACAAATATAAAATAAAGAAAACTTTAGATAAGATTATTATGATTATTATTAATCAATGGAAATAATGTTATTCTTAGTAATTAGATTAAAATAAATTTAACGATTATTTATCACAATAATTTCTTTTTTCTTGTCGGAAAATCTATCAAATTAATATAATATTTACTTTTCTTCGTTTTTCTTAATATATAATGAACAAAATTTAAAAAACGTTGTACATCTGCCATAATAATAATGAAAATTACAGTACTGAATAATAGATGTGTACGTAGAAAAAACCTTAACAACAAATTCAGAATATCACATAAACAAATAAGAAAAAAAATTAAATTTTGTAAACTGAATGTCCTAAGGGTTTTTTCAGAATATTTTTACTATTTGACTTAAGTTCATCGGTAAATATCTTTTGAGTGAAAAGAATCGAGAAACTTTTAATATTATCCTTTAAATTTATTAAATATAGTTGAAAGAGAAAAATGTTACATAACAATTTATTATAATTAGTTCGATTTTTTGAATGATTTTCATCCTTGAAAGGTTCAAATCTGTAGTAGTTGTTCTGCTGTTGGATCATCAATAGAAGCGATTTTAGTGATTATGAAATATCAAACAACAAGTTTTCGGCAATATACAAATTATTTTGAGTTGCACTCCTAATAATCTACCATATTAATCATAATTTTTCTCTTTAAATTCTATATAATAAATTTTAAAATTGTCTCGATTGTATAAAAAAACTTGATATTTAGACTTTTCTCTTAAAAGGTATTTATCGATAAACTTAAGTCAAGTAGTAAAATATTTGAAAAAACTTTTAGAACATTTTGAAATTCATTTAACATTGAAATGATATACATATAAGGGTAGGTGTCTCTAATCTTAACTCACATCCACACCCTTCTCTTTTCATTAAATTTTAAAAAATTTCAATGAGAAAATAAGAACAAAATGAAAATATTTTCATAGAAAACTTCACTGATTTGGGTTTTGTCTGATGAAAAAGAAGAAAATTCAACTTAAAATCATTTTTCATTTACAACAAAATCTTCATCAGAATATAGAATTCAAGAAAAATTCCAATTTTAATAATTTGATTTTGACAAAATTTTGAAATATTTATTGCAATTTTTCTATTTATTTTTCTTTCGAATCTCTTTTTTCTTGTTTCCATCTAAATGAAAATGTTCATTGATTTCATTTTCTCAAATCACTCTTTAATTTCAAATTTTAGTTAAACTCCTATAAAATCAAACAAAAACTAGAATTGGAAAATGATAAAATTTATTAATTTATTAAAGAAAAATCTTTTCAACATTTGTTTTGTTCAATTGAATTCATTTCAATTCGATATTTATTATCAATTTTTTTTTATAAAATATTTTCTTTCCTTCTCTTCCGCAAAATTTAACAAGAAATGAAGAATTTTACATTTATTCATTCGAGTTTTTATTCAAAATTATGAAATTAAATACAATTTTTGGAGAAAAAAATCAAAAAGAAATGTCGTCGCTGTTTTCTTATCAAAAAGTTTTTTTTTTTTTCAAAATTAAAATTTTATTCACAATATTATTTCAAACTTTTGAACTTGATGATTAAAATAATCAACAGCATAAAGATTTCCTTCATCATCAGAAGATATACCACTAGGAAGATTCAATTGATTTCTTTCACCATTGCCGCCAACAACAATTTCACCTTCTTTTTTTCCTTCACACCAACGTACTATTCGATCATTCCCAAAATCTGCTACATAGATTTCACCCAAGTCATCAACAACTACTCCATGTGGATAAGACAATTGATTGAGATTTCTTCCTTGACCATTTCCTCCAGCCACAATTGTTCCTACTTTTGCATCTTTTCTCCATTTCATCACACGATTATTCTTCACATCTGATACATAAATAGACTGATCTTCATCAACAAAGATATAAGAAGGACAATTGAGTTGATTAAGTTGATTTCCTTTTTCATTTCCACCTGCTACTACAATTCCTTCGCTGTCGTATTCTCCCATTTTCCATCGTCTCACTTCATTTTTCTTATAATCAGAAACATAAAGAAATCCATGTGTGTCCATTATCAAGCCAAAACAGTCAATATTGTCAATAAGAATTTGTTGATTTTGATTCACCCATTGAATCACTCGTCTGTTCCCTTGATCAGCAATAATGATCAAATGATTTTGTTGATCAACAATCACATCTGTTGGTTGACTCAACTGATTCATTCGATTTCCTTGTTTATTTCCACCTGCAATGATTTGTCCTTCTTTTGCATTATGTTTCCATTCAACAATACGATGATTATAAGTATCAGCAATGAAAATGCTTTTCTTTTTATCAATAAAGATTCCTTCAGGGCCATTGAGTTGATCTAATTTTTGTCCTTGTCCATTTCCACCAGCTACAGTAATAGCATTTTGTTTCCACTGGTTAAATTTTGATTCTAAAAAAAATGAAAACAAAAGATTTTAATGAAAAGAAAAAGAAAATCTATTTTTCGTTGAATAATATAGAAAAAAAAGAGGGTGTTGTTATAAGTGTTGAGCTTTATTCCACACTTGCACCCAAGCTAAGAATTGTTTTCTGTTTTCAATAACGATATTATTTATTTCTTCTCTGTTGTATACGTATTATAAATTCTGTAAATATCTTCAATACAAAGAATAGAGAAATTTGTTATCGTTATGTTCATTACAAAATCTAAACTTTTTTCTTTGAGATAATAGAAAAATGTGCTTTTAATTGCAAACAATAAAAGTGAACAGAAAAAAATTTTAATTTTCCTAATTTATCAAAGATAATCGAAGTTTGAATTAATCATACATATCTTTTGAAACTTTGAAGAAAAATCTTTTTTTTTTAACTTTGATATTATTTTATATCTTATCATTCTTTTTTTTACATATAAATAAATTTAATTTTCTGTTTCTATATTAATACTATTATTGTTGATTCAATTAATAAATAAATCAATAGTTTTCTCGATTTTTATAGGTTTTAACATAAATTCATAGAAAATGAGAATTATTCTATCACAAATTATGTGCTAAAAACTTACTTTTCGATAATATAATTGAAATATCATTAATAAGTGTTTGTGAATCTTGTTGAATAGACATATTTGATGGATTGTTTAATTCTTCTTTCATTTTTGTTAATTGATTTTTTAAATAAATTAAGTTAGTTTCATTAAATTCATTTTCGGCATGAATTTGTTTTATTTGTTCACATAAATCATTAAATTTCTTTTCAATATCATGAATAAATGTTTCTGAAGACTTAGCAACAAATTTTCTACATTCTTGTGCTGTTTGTTGAATTATTTCAATTGAGTCTCTTTCCCATTGATCGATTTGCTCTATTAATAAATCATTTTGTGTATTTTGTTTTTGCTCATTAATTCTCTGTTTAAATTCATTATATTCATTAATAATAAGATTTAATTCATCATTTAATATTTGTTGATGTTCTGTTAAATGATTTAAACAAAATTCTTTTGAACATCCTTTACAAGGATATGTTATTTTGTTTTTGTGACATGTAAAACATTGTGTCTTGTTGTTTGTCATTGCCATATCTTTGAATAGAAGTTTATAAAAAATAGACATAATACTTCAATGTCAATAAGAGTCTCGATGTGGAATATATTTGATACTCACACCCACCCCTCAACGTTGTTTGTTTGAAAATTTTTAAAAATTACTATTTGGGAAAAATATGATCCGGACACAAATTTTACCATGCTGAACAAATAGGGCAAAGCATTAAAAAAAGGTTTCGTCCTGCCCTGTGACGGTCTGTGTGGTGAACTATGGATGATTTTTTTAAAATTAAAAGATGTTTACTTTCACTGTCACTTTCAGTCTTGGGATTGCCGATCCTTACAGTAGAGCTTATAACTCGACAGCTACATGTATGCAACTCTCTTTCGTAAGAGATTGATTTCGGTTAAATAAGAAGAACATAGTGAATTGATTGAAAATGATACTCTTACTTGGTAGATATTATTTCTTGTCGTAACGTTTCGATAGCGATATTGTCTTTATCAGATAGCGAACAGCATGATAGAATGACGAGCACGCGTATACATACTGAATATTTCCTCTCTCTCTCTCATGTTTTTTTCTTTTGTTCTTTCTTTTCGTTTTTTGATATAGTAGGAGAGCAGAAAAAATAATTAGTTACTTCTTCCAGTATCACTATCTTGCTGATTTACTTGTTCTGTTCTAAATTGTAATTGCTGTTCGTGTACATACTTTTCGTAATAGTTTATTTGATTATGTAAAACTGAATATCGTTGAACCATTTTATTCTGTTTTTTCTTACAATGTAAGATGACATTATTTTATAACTATACTGTCAATTTCAGTTATTTTCTTTCTTTTCGACGCTTTTCTGAATATCCTAAGTATTCAAATATGTGTGACACCCGATCTTGTACATCTCTAATTGAAAAAATATGAACGAAATCAAAGTCAAATATCTTGAGGGTATGGATATAGTGTGAATTAAAGTATCGTACACACTAACAACTGCACCAATACTCACATCCATCCACCCTCTTTTTAAATAAATTTAAACAATTATATCATATAAATATTTATATATGTGAAAATTGATTTTTTGTTCAAATAAATTCTGTAGAATTTTTAAATGAAAAATATTTTTCTAAGATATACATAATTAAATTTATTTTATTTGTAAAAGATCAACTGATTTGGAAAGATTAAATTTAATATTTTCAATAATTAAATATTAAAATAAAATAGTAGAATATTCATATTAAATAATAATCTTTATTATTGAACAAAGAATCATATGATATATTGATCATTACTTTTATTATATTGAAATTAGAATGATATTTTTAAAATACAACAACAAAATTCATTCAATATTATTTTTATACGAATATCATATGAAGTCAATCTTTGAAAATTTAATAGAATGTTTTCAAAAAGGCTAGTATTTATTTGAGCAATAAAAATATCTGAATGAGGGTGAGTGTCTCTTTTTTGCTTGTTGAAACTTACACCCACACCCTCACCTTCAGTGTTATATTACTTTTGATATAATCTAAGAATATATTTGAAAAATTCTGAGGTCTATCTTTATTTTCCTCTTTTTCGTAGAGAAAAGTCTAGCAGATGTAAATTGCCTTTAATAATAATAATGAAAATTTTCGATCTTCATCGATCCTTATCAAACAGAAAAACACAACCAAAAATACAATGATGTTACAAATACAAGTGTAAGGATATTAGAAATACACGAAAACTTTAATTTTAACATACATAAACCATTGACAATGGTAATTCTTTGTTACCAGTAATAAATTAATAATTTAATTCGATCGTAAGTTAAATCATAATTTATTCCATATACCTATATACTTACGAAACAACTCATGTGAAAAATACTACTGAATAATAAT